TGGCGCTGCCGCGCTGAGCGGCGCGGGCGGCGGGGCGGGGGGAGGCGGCGGTCGCGGGCCGCTCCTGCCCGCCGGCGCAGCCTGTGCGCCCCGTCGCCGTTCCCCCCGCCGCTCGGCGGGGCGGGAAGATGCGGAGCAAGGGCAGGAAGGAGAGCCTGTCCGACTCCCGCGACCTGGACGGCTCCTATGACCAGCTGACGGGTGAGTGCCGCCGCCGGGGAAGGTGCAGCAGCCACTCGGACCACGGCGCGGGGCGGTCCCGGGTACCCGCTTCCAGCCCCGCTTCCAGCCCCGCTTCCAGCCCCGCTCCCTGCCCGCTCCGCTTCGCCGCACGCCTTGCTCGGGGAGAGGGGGAACGGCCGCGACCCCGGCGCTGGAGCAGGGGGACAGTCCCGATCCCCGGGGGGAGGATGCTCCGGGGGCGATAGGTTGGTCCCAGAGTGCAGAGGTTGTCCCGAGGCAAGGAAAGGGCCCCGTTCGGGGGGAGGGATGCTTGGATCGCTTTTGGCCACCCCCCAAGCTYACAGTCCCTCACTGTTACTCCCAAGCCCTTTGGGACTCCAGRGTCTTGCGCTGGGCTCTCTCTGCCATGCCTTGGGTCCCGCTGCACCCTCGGGTGGCACAGCAGCAACCCAGCAGCAGGTTCTCCAGGAAGGACAGGCTCACTCCGCTCACAAAACCCCAGCAGCACCACGGTGCTTCACCCATCACCCGGTGTTCCCTAGAGCATTCCTTGAGTCGTCCTGCCCCTGAATCGGGTAGCTGTGGGACAGAGAAGATTAAGACGACCCATTTGTGACCCTCCTGTATTCCACTCCGTCCTCTGCCCCATCAGGGAATTGCCAGGCATCCCATATCCCACATCTGTCCATCCGTCACACCTCATCCTGCACTGTCCGATAGGRAAGCAGCTGGGCTGGAGCTGGCAACACCCCTCCTTCCCCACGTGCTCTCCACAGATCAGGCCAAATSCTGTCCCCTTTCATGGCCTTTGAAATGGGGCAACAGTTCCCAGCTGCCTCCTGGGACCCACGATGGAGCKGAACCTTTCCTTAGCCGGTGGTGTTCAGTGTCCCTGTGCCGCAGGCACTGTTGTGCGTGCACTGGCGGCTTCCCTGAGTTCCGGTGATGCTTTTTCTGCCAAAGTCTGGGGTGGATTTCGGGCTTTGCTCTAGAATTTCAAAGAGGTGGTGGTACCAGGGCAGGACCCTTACTCTGGTTTCCTGAGCAGCCCYACACATGGGAAACACTGCTTACTGTGTGCCCAAACGTGCTGCAGGGAAGATATTTTTGAGCTGTGTAGGAACTTGGAACCCCCACACAACTTTTGGTTTCTCCRGTAACTTTAAAATGTCCATATGGATTTAAATCAAATCAAAGTTAAAAATAAATTCCAGTCTCTCTAAGACTAAGACCTTTTATGCCTGGGCTTACCTCTGAGCCAGCTGTGCAGCAGGAACCTGGATGGAGTGGAGCTGTGCCACCATGCAAGTCCCTGCCTGCAGGCATGGGGCTTTGGGGAAGTCTTTGGGGAACGAGGCTGGAAATATCTGCCCCATTTCCCAGAGCAGGAAGCAGGCCCCGGAGGGCATGTCATTCATTTCCCCTCGCTGTCAAGTCAGTGACCTGCCAGGGCAGAGCCTGCAGTGACACCACGGAGGGGAGGGAGCTGGTCCCAGTGGCACTGATTTCCCCTGCGCTGGCTGAATGCACTGAAGCTGACCCCTGCTGTGGACAGAAGGTTGTGTCTCTCCCCAAAAGTGTGGAAGTGATGCAGGCAGGAGAGGGGATGCAACCTGAGCTCTACAGAGGGTTTACTAGCTTGAYCCCATGCCTTCAAACCTGGTCTTGGCTCTTGGTGAGGACCCAGAATATCCATRGGGCTGTAGCAAAGCCCAGGGGGGAAGCTGGCAGTGCCAGTGTGGGCTTAGTCCCTTCCTGCAGATGGGAGGGTCACCACTGGCACCTGCTGTTTGGTAGCTCAGCTCTGCTTGGCAAACTGCACAAGCAGTTTGTAATTTTGGAAACTCCCATCTATCAGGGTGTGTTGGAGTTTAGAGGACATCAGCCACGCAAGGGCTGTGTCAGGTGAGGCGACAGCCCCACAGCAGCTGCAGTGATTGCTGGTGTGTAGAGGGACAGCAGTCAGTCCTGCTGCCTCCCCATCCCTGCCTGAAAACAGGGTGAGAGCAATGTGATTCCCACCTCTGTATGCTCAGAGAARGGTTAGCAATAYCCCCTTCCAAAASAAGGAGTGGAGMGAACAGGAAGCAGAACCCCCAGCTRTGCTCAGGGTAGAAACTCTCCACAATGTCCACTCATTCTTAAATTTTAAAAGCTGTTGAAAATGAGGGTGTAGTGGCAGCCCCCACTCCCTGCGGCATCTCCAGCGCTGCCCAGCCGCCGCGGCTGTGTGGGCACGTGGATGTGTGTGTGAGAGGCCCGAGTGAATGAGAACTGCCTGCGTGTGAGCCCTGGGGAGAGCAGAGCAGCAGCGCTCCCTGTGCCGGGGGAGCAGGGTCCGGCTGTGCTGGCCCCGGTGTGGCCGTGTGGCTGTGCCTGCCTGGCTGCTGAGCTTGCGGCTGGGCACCCACCTGGGCSTTAAGGAGAGAAATGTTTAGGTTACGCCACCAGGAAATTAAACTGGTCCATTTCTGGGATATTTAGATGACGCTAGCGAGAAATAAAAGCCATCCATAAATTACATTATTCCTCCAGCCTCTAATGGCATGAGCGATTAGTGTGCAAGCAGAGCCCAGAGCCAGTGTCTCGCGACTGCTCTGGCCATGGCTCTCCATGCTGAAGAAATGGGAGTCCAGTGCCACTTTGTCCCGAGAAGCGCAGGTACTGCATCCCTGACCCTGAACGCTGACAGTGTGAGAGGTGAGTGAGCTCCTGCCTGATGCTCCACAGGGATGTGTGGGCATCAGGGCTGCCCCAGATGGGGAGCAGGGGTGAATGGCCTGGGAATTGTCTTACCCTATTAGACAAGCCCTTCCCAGCGATGCTGTACCCTGTGAGCAGGACAGCATGTGCCAGCATGGGGTCTATGTCTAGGCTGTTTGGGGTGATGTAAACCCCCTAATTGCCTTTTGGAATAACAAGGTATTCTTCTCCAGGGCTGTTGGGTCCCCAGAAAAGGGTTAGGAGTCTCACTTTTCACCCCTGCTTTTTCACCCCTGCTTTTTTCCTCCAGTTGTCGTGATCTGGGAACTCGAGCAACCGCTTTGCTCCACCCCAAAGGCAGCCGCAGCGTGTTTGCAGGGTTGAGCAATTGCTGTAGAGATCATCTGCAGAGCTTTGGGATCCTCCTGTCTCCAGAGGCACAGCTGATGGATGGGGACTCCCAACTCCTAGCACTTTTAGCAGCCCACCCCGTGAGATGAAAGCCATAGGCAGCAGCGTAGTGGCAGCGCAGCATCTGGCTGAGCTCTCCTCCCTGCCTGGTGGGAGCGTGTTTCAGAGGTATCTCTCCCCATGGCAGTACAAAAGGAGAGGTGGGGCCAAGCTGTCCCCCACAGACACATCAGAGGGAGGAAGGGCCATTCGGGTGGGTGGGAGGACAGTGGGATCAGGGTTCTGGTCCCTGCCATGGGATAAAGCTGAGGACCTGTGTCCCGGCAATGCCGCAGGAGGGTCCCAGGTGATGGGCGGATCTCAGGTTGTGCCAGGGGCYTGTTCTGCTGCCGGCAAGCCCGGCAGCTTCATCGTGTCTGCTACAGCCCGTGATCAGCCAGGTGGGGGAACGTCTCCACCAGCTTGCCATAGCGTAGGACTTCCATCTGCACGGGGGATAATTTATTTCTCAGTGTGGAGGAGGTGTCAGTGCTAGCCTGTCCCAAATAATAGTGTGTAGGGGGAAGCGCTGGGATCCGCAGCTGGAGGACGGAGTGACAGGGTCACTGAGTGGGAGCAAGGGCATCAGGCAGGCAGGGGCTGGCCAGGAGCCCGGCTGCAAGTGTGCATGGAGGTTGTGTGCTGTGTCTGTGTGTTGGGGTGGATGCCATGGAGAGGGACTGGGGTGGAGACGGTGCCCAAGACCAGCTCTCCCACGCCCAGAATAAATCTCCTTCTCTTGCCCAGTTGCTTCCTCGAGAACAGCCCTGGATCCACCGCCCTGCCCTCACGGCTCTGACAGGGCCAGCTGCCTGCATCCCTCTGGTCAGTGTTAGGTGTGGGTTGCCCCCTCCTCGTAGCAGCAGCCCCTGGAGCGGTGACACCCACCAATGTCCTTCCCTGGGGTATTCACAGTGGGAACTGTGTGCTGCCCATTCCCCTGCTCCCCCGCTAACCTGCCTCCCCTCCTGCTGCTGCCCCACGCTACTCCCCTTCGCTTGCCACTTCTGCTCCTGCAGCCTGGCAGTGAGGCTGGGCTGGAAGCCACACTGACCCTCGAGCCAGGTCCCCGAGCTCCCAGAAGGGTTCTCTGTCAGAGTGGGGTACTGTAGGGAAGGGTGTCTCCCTCGTGGGTCAGCGTTAGGGGCTCCCATGGGTCATCTCTGCCAAAGCGCCTTGCCCTCGGTGGCTGCTGCACCTTCCCGGGGTGATGGGACGGTTGCCTGACTCTGCCTCATCTCTGTCTGCTGTCTCCCTTCTCCCAGCATCTGTGCCCTCTTCCTCTYCCCTCTTTGCTGTCCTGGCTTGTCTGCAGCCCTCTGATTCTGATGACTCCCCTCTCACGGGGTGTTGTGGCATTGCCTGAGCAGAGGCTGAGATCCTGAGGGTCCCTGCTGGAGGGGATGCTGCTCCAAACCTGCGCTAGGGCAGAGCCACACACGGGGCGAGGAGCATGTGTGTGACGCTGCTGGGTACCACTGCTCACGGGCAGGTAGGATTTTGCAGGTGGAAAGGCTGGAGCTGAGGTTTTGGCAGCCGCTGCTGCATTCCTGCAAGCAAAGGCAGGTTGGAGTCCATGGGGAATTGGTGGCAGAGGATTAATTGACAGGAAGTTCGCGGATTTGGTTGGGGCGGTTAAACGGCTGATTTCTACAGATGCTGATGCATAATTCATGGRCTGTCGCAACTTCGGCCAAGGGATACAGCTCCTGCTGCACAGGGCTGGCCATGCACAGGCTCTTTCACCATCTCTGTGTCTGGGCATAGAGTTTTTCCTCATTGCTGGCCGTCTTACAGCTGGAGGTGTCTCGTCTCAGTGGTGCTGTTCTCATACTGTGTGTTGTGCTGGAACCAGTTGCCCTCAG